ATGCACAAAGACTGGAAGGGATCTCAAGCTATCTTCGCAATTTCAGTGTTCCAGATCATCCTTCTCCTATAGCAACACCATGAAGCGTGACAGTGTTTTATATATAATTAGTAACAAGAGCTTAAACATTGATCCTGCTAGATGTAGCAGGATCTAAGCTCCTCAAATTTGGTCATGAAACAAGGGATTAAGGAGACTCAAGTACCTCCAAGAGATTCACACACTGCAAGTCATGGCCGAAGCAGGAAGCTCCTTCCTGTCCTATCTGAGTCATAGTCACACCAAAGTGATGCAATGTCTGCTACTAAGGGCTCCCTTTATGTTGAACTGTTTTCCCTTATCATAACACAGTGGGTAATACCATGTGTGAAACATGGTATTACAGTGTATTGCAGCTATTTTATATCAAGACCTGCCATTGTTGGACTAGCATGGAAAATGTGCAGTAATACATAATATCATGAACAATCAAGCAAAGAAACACTTTGACCATAATTCAGCTCTGTTTTACATGGAGTATGATGCCATGATCATCTTAGAATGAGGAGCAATGATGAAAACAAGACTATTTTTATCATACCTCTAGATGACTAAGTAGTAAAAATTTCAGTTACTCGTTTGAGATGTACCTCTACTAATTCAACCTGCACTATCGACAGTTTTCACAAGAAGACCTGCAAACACAGAAGAACTTAATAATATATAATATATGTGTCCTTCACTGGATTATTGCCACTTGAACTTAAAAAATAAAAAGCAAGCAAATAGAAGAGGTATATGGTGCAAAATCCAAGTTCATCTCTGGTTACAGCTGAGAACAAATTCCAGTAATGATGCTGAAATGTGGGCTGTGGAGGACAAAGGGTTGAAGGAAAAACGGGGGTTTTTGGCAAATAAAATCTAGAATGAGGTAAAGAGAATGCAGGAAGAGATTTACTTGCAAATTCAAGGGGACTATCAAGATAAAGTCTTGTAACACCCTCCGCCTTCAATAGGGAATTCTGTATATATTTCTATATATATAGCTTCCATAGCAACGTAAATCTATTATTAGACATTTTTGCTACATGTAACACTCTAAATAGCCTGATTAAAAGACAACTAAATCACAAAAACACACTGCCTTGGAGAAAATAAGGAATCAAGATATAAAACTCCCTTCAATGTGGAGGGTAAGCAGGCTGCAGTGTGGTTGCATAACCATCTAGGAAAGTAGAATTTGGCCTCAATTAAGAAAATCTCTATTGTTATAATAAACTAGCAAGGAGAGACATGAAAGTTACTGGAACATCTGGAACATATTCCAAGCAGTGAATAAAGACGACAAATGCTATGTACAATACTGCACAGTAAGAAGGCAGCAACTGCATAGAAAAAAAGTGAGGCATCACTTTTCGTTTTCAATCCCATTTTCAGTTATTCAATCTTTCCTCAAAGAGATCCTTCTGACAACGTATTTTATTCACTTTGGTCTGAAACTCAGAAAGTTATCTCTTGCATTAACATTTGACTACATTACAGTTATTTGTGCAGGGACACAAGAGGGAATAGGGAGACACCTGTGCCATTACAAAATGAGCCCTAAGCTCTTCCTGTTCAAGGGGAACACAAGCAACAAGGAAAAGGTATTTCATTTAATGCTGTTAAAAGCAAGACTTGAGTTCTATAAAGCTAGTACCAAATTTAGCAATGAAGTTTTTGGTCAGGTGCAAGCCAAGCTAGTCTGAAAGGAGAAATCCCAAAGTCTGTAAATAAATTAATCTAGACAATCCCTCTGACTGAGCAGACGCAAAACCTCCAACAACAAAGATTTTGGAGTCACGTCATTTATACTCTTCCTTTCTTGTAACTCATACCAAATACAGGTTGTAGTATCTATCATAAACATGAAGGTGCGAATATTCCTTTCCTCTTTGCCACACTCTTTGATAAAAAATCCATGTCTGTTGGGTATTTCTTCAAAGGCTTCTCTTCTTTAAGCAACAGAAGATCACAAGTTAATATTAATCAAATTATAAAAAATAGAGATTCATTATGTCAATCATATTCCTGAACCAGTGGCAATGAATGCATTAATATAGTAAGACTACGACCTGAAGCATTGCAAGCAATTCAGTATCCAATAGTTCATCAAAGCAAAAGTACCAGAAAGGGCTTTAAATCCACTCAGTTCTGGTGAACTTTCACTGCAAGCATTATATAATCACAGAATTATTCTGGCTGGAAGGGACCTTGTGATGTCTCTATTCAAACCTCCTGCTCTAAGTATGTTTAACACCAAACTCAGATTAAGTTTGCTAAGGGTTTTTTGCCCAACTGGGTTTTAAAAACATCCAGGTATGGAGATTTCACAGTGAAGAGTTCATGGTCTCATCAACAGGACTGAAACTGAGCAAAGTAGAGATATTTGACACAACAAATTTACCCACTAAGTTTTGTAGTATATAATAGTCCAATTAACTTCCTTCTAGCACATTAGTGCCTTTGATTTGTTCTCTTTGCACTTCCAGGACACCACCATGCTCTTAGCACCTTTTTACAGGTATAGAATTAAGGATCAGAAAAACTGTCATTGAAGTGAAAGTTACGTACCTAAAAAATTTTAAAATCCTGTGCTAAGTATTTTGTTCAACATTGCAGAGAATGCAATTGGAAAAGAATAAAACTGAGCCTTGTTCTTCTGTAGATAGCTGAAGTAGATCACTCCAGTGACCACTGAATGAAAGACTAACCTCATTCTTTCTCCTTCACATCAGAAAGACATAGTATGAAAACACATCTGAGTTGAATATATTCAGGATATTCAATCCAAGGTCTCATTTCATATCACAATCTGATCTCCTACAGCAACTCTTTCTGTTCTCCATTCAGTTACTTGGTAAACAAAGTTACCTGTGGTAAATCTTTCAGTGCTGCAAGTGCAAAAGATCCTAAGGAAATTTTAGGCTATTGTAGCATACAAAGTAGGAGGAAAAAAAATTCCTTAGCAGACCTCACTGAAAAACAAGAGCAACTTTTTTTTTTATTCAAAAATTGTCATTTCTTTTTGGCATTTTTTTGTTTACTGGCTGGAAAAAGGACTCACTTGTCATGAAAGTATCTAAAAAAGAGTGGCTACACAAACCAACAGAGAGGAAGAAAAGGGGCAAAAATCCCTCTGGAAGGTAATAGCAGCTGTAGTATAGATATACATATGCCCTCTCCTGAAGAAACTAAATTGAGTTCAGTTTTCCAACCCCTGTAAAATAATGTGTGATTAATACACAGATACAAATACATTGAAGAGAAGGGAGAAAGCTAACTTCAGGGTCTACTGATTATATTTAGACAAACTGTCAAAAGTTAATTGCAAGAACATTTTACAGTCTTTATTATTTTCAAAATTTTAAAGTTAGTTTCAGAACTTTGACCAAAGCTTTTCCCTTTCCACCTCATTTTAGAATGTCTCCAAATTTCTGTGGTTCTTTTTCACACAGTTACAGACACAGTTAGACAAACTCAAAAGCATAACCTTCTGGTCTTCATCTCCTGACCAAAACAAGGAATCTGTTGCCTGAATCATCTCAAAGGTTCTGCACACACATTAAATTACTTTGTATGTGTCCTTCATTTTGAAGTATAAGAAAACAAACAAACAAACAAAAGACCAGATGATGAGTTGGTACAAGGCAGACAAGTCATCTGAATTGAGAAAAACTTGCTGATTGATACCAGCTGACAATCTGTCCCAACATGTTACCCAGGAAGATTTGCTTTACAAACAACCCACTTGCTCTGCCAGGAATAAACACAGTTTCAAATGGATACACTGGGCTGCAAAGCCCTTAGATATTAAGGTAAAAGTAAACATATTTTCATGCTTTTTCTGACAAGAAAACCATCACTGTGAAGGATTTAAGTATTTAATTCTCTTCTCTTTTGCACTATTTTTTCTAAGATTCATTTTTAACACATATGAATCAACCATAAGGAGAAAGAAGAAAAAGAGAATTTTATCAAGTCAACTTACTTTTAAGCAAGATCACAAAACCTTATGGAACTGGCTAGCTATGACAACTACATCAACCATGTGAAAATATATACCCTGGATCTATAAAAAATAAAACCCAGAAACTCTGCAGCAGGTTAGGATTAATATCATATGTGCTTTAATCCCATGTCAACTTTCCATTGAAATCCATTCCTGAGTATGACAAAGCATCATCTTATTCAGCCACTTTTTCCTGGATTCTCAAATTCTGAGAAACCTTTGAGTATTTTCCAGAAAGCTGTTAACCCTCAGTCTATCCCTATGGATAGAAGTGGGTTTCAGACAATGGAAATGGTGTCGCTGTGGATAATTTCCAAAAGAGAGACCAGTATCCACCTTCTCCAAGTTATCTTCTTGGGTTCATCTGTTGGTGGTGGTTATTGCCCTTGCTAAATCAAATTATTCAAATCCTCATTAAACCATTCAAAATCCAAGAATTTATTATTAGAAAACAAAACTAAAATTATATATAATTTTAGTTTTGTTTTCTAATAATAAATTCTTGGATTACAGTGATTTATACAGAACGGAGGATCTATGAGAATGACAAAGACTTAAAAGAATTAACATTCCTTCAGCAAATACGTATAATACAATGGATTAGAAAGAATTTGCCACCATGAGCCCACAGATTGGCTAATGTTTTGATGATGAGAAGTGGAGCTCCAGTCATCTGTTGGACATGTTTGTGTTCCTATGAGCCTGTCTGCAGCTGGGAACACTGGGAAGGAGAAGAGGGGTAAGAATAGCTGTCCCACACTTGACTGGTTCTTTTTATTCTCAGCAGTGTTCACTTTCTACTCCTAAGAAACTGTCAGAAGTATCCCAGTAACTTCTTACTTGATCTTTTCCCACTTTGAAGAGTCAACAGACAGTTTGTGTCATTCTTGATTAGCAAATGCATTCTGCCCCTTTCTCATCTCCCAGCATCCCAATTTCCAGGGTAAAAAGTAATGTCCGGGTCACTCACCCCTAACATCTGATGCAAATAATAATACTGCAGCCCTTGATAATAGAGCAGGAAGGTTTTCCAAAAGAGCCATACATTGAGGGAGAGCCAGAAAAACTGAAAAGAAACAGAAACAAAAGATTGTAAGCGAAAGTTACATGTGCAAACTTCCGTGTCAATTTCATTCATAAAACTCACAGGTCTGTAGTATATGTAAATGGAATGGGAAAACAAGCTTCAAGCACTTAGTATGAAGATACTTTAAAATATTAAAAGGAATAGCCTCTCCTTGTGAAATTCTCACTTTCCCCGAACTTCACAAAACTTTGTGTCTTAAGACAACCGAGAGCTGGCGGAGCCGCCGCACACAAGACGCTACCCCAAATCTTCAGTTGCATATTGCAGCTAAAATACTCAAGGAATAAAACCCAGCAACAAAGAGACGAAGGAAGAACTTGACCTCCAAGAAGCTGCATCTTCTCCCTCAAACTTTCCTAAAGAGAGCCTAACAAAGAGCACGCAACGTGTGCCGAGCGCAGCCGGGCACGGACGCCCGGGCTGTCCCGGGCCGTGGTACCCGCAGGCACCCCTGCCAGCCGCGCACCGGGACAAGCACGGAGCGCATCCCACCCACTGCCCGCCCGGGCACCGGCATCCCGCGGGCGCGCTGCCCCAGCCGAGCCCCGCGGCGGGCGCGGCAGCACCTCCCGCAGCGCCGGACCCGCCGTGCCCGCCGAGCTGGTTGCAGCCCGGGCCGGCCCCGCCGCCTGCAGCTCCCCCGCGGCCCCTCCAGAGCCTCCTCCGCGGGGCAGCCCCGCTGAGAGGAGCCCCCCCACCGGGGCCGCCCTCACCAGAAAGAGGTGCTTGCTCCCCTCGTTGGCCAGCCAGCTCCTCCAGGACAGCGCCATGGTGCGGGACGCCCGTGGGGCAGCACCGACGGCTAGGGGGGCGCTGGGCGAGCGGGCAAACCCTCCTTTTCAGCCGGGCCGGGCCGCCCTCCCCTCTCCCCACCCCTCACCCCCCGCCCTGTCTTCCGGCCGCCGGGGCGTTGCGCTCCGGCCCCGCCGCGCCGCCCTCCAGCCCCCTGGCCCCGGCCCGGGCCGGCCGTGCTGCCCCTTTGTCCGCCCCGGGCGCTCCCCGGTCGCGGCGCTGCCCCGGACTGCAGCGCAGCCGGACGGGAAGAGGGGCCTTGGCGAGGGCCACCCCCGAAGAGGCAGCCTACCCTGCTAAGGAACGGTGTGGCCGCTTCCTCGCATCCCCCCACCTTGGAAAGCGGGTTTTCCCCACGGAGAATCCCGTCCGTGGGGGTCCCCCTTGTCCCGACTCTCCCGACATCCCCAGCCCGGCTGAAATGTGATACAGAAAGCAGGAGGGAGCTGGGAAGCAGCCGTGCATGCAACTGCTCTGCAGTTCTGGTAAAACAAAGAGCTTGTCCAAGAAACTACTGTTCGGTCACTACATGAGGCCCTCGAAAGCTGGGAAGGGGACGGGAGTCTGATCCTGCTCCATCAGGTGTCCCTGGAGCACACTGGAAGAGGCTGGCTCCTGTGCGCAGTGGATGTGCGTGCAATCGAGCCGAAGCCAGGGAAAAAAAGCTACGGGCGCCTATACATTGGAAGTGTCCCGAGTTCAGATTGATACCTGTTGCAATCAGTCTGCACTTAGTGGTGGTCTTCATGTTTGGTTTGGGTTTGGTTTTTTGTTTGTTTGTTTTTCGGGTTTTTTTAAGGGAAAGTTGCTACAGATACTGATTTTTATATTAAGAAAAAGCTTTTTAAAAATTGCTTGTTGCTAGCAGCTTTCAAACACAACACCCTGGTGAGTCATAGAGGAGCTCCACTTTAAACCAGGCATTGTGGTGCACACGCTGCTCCTTGATAGCAGCAATGACAGCTGGCAGCAGAGCAAGGCTGGTTTTCTGGGAGATGCCAAGTCCAAGGAGCAGTGATGAGAAGTCTCATCCATTCCAGTTTGAGCTCGCTGTCTTTCTCTTATGACTCGGAAAATTGACATTTTTTGTGCTCCTTGTGAGCCACATACTAAGGGTCCAGAGAAAAAATGGAAGGAAGCAAAGTATGATCTTTCTCCAGTTCCGTATAAAGAGGAGGGAGTGTCTGACCCATACGTGGCCCTGGCAGTAAAGAGTACAGGTAGGGCATGGCTCCTGTGAAACTCAGTTGAGAGTAGTTTGGCTGCAGCAGGACAGCTGTCTCAAACAAAGTGACAGGATTTCTGTGGCTGTATGAAGTGCTAGGTGAAGTTTTGAAACAGCAGGGTAGAAGATTACAGCTATTTTATGTCATTAAATGACACTAAAAGGAGAGCTAGTGAAGAGTTAAATACATATTTTGCGTTTAAGACTCAACAGAACCATAGTTTGGTGCCAAAGCAGCACTAACAACAACAGCAATAGTATAGTTTATTTATCTTGTTTACTATCTCCATTCATATTCTTGTTCCAGTTGTAGTGCAAAGAACATGAAAACTCCTTACAGAGAAACAGATGATGAAACTTCTGTAGATAAGCATGTCAAAGCTGGAATGACAGAAAATAAAACTTATAGGATATGTCAGGCCTAATAACATGGGGAGGGCCTCAGCCAAAGCTGAAGCTGCAACAAGCACAATAAACAAAAATAATTTGCCCATCCTATGTTTGCCCACTAGAAATGTCTCTGAAAAATCAGCTTATGCAGGATTTGACTACCCACTCATATGCAGCTGATGACTCATGAGCCAGCACTTAACTGCTCTGCTCACTTATGAAGTGCTATAAGGCATGTGGAGTACATGACTCATGTTCCAGTCAACATTGGATCCTACATCATATCTAGGTACAGAGCAAAGAATGTGTTTTTGTAGAAAACATCCCTATTTTCTTTCTCCTTGGAAACAGTCAAGGACTTTGAATCATTATCCCAAGAAGAGTCTGGCAGAGACCAGTGCCATGCTAATACATATACATTCTTCTTCCATAGAAAAGGTTGAGTTTGCAAGTGCCTAAATCATGCATTCCCAGGGATCTCTGGAAGTTCTCTGTCTTCGTTCTCTGTTTTAAACCATCCCAGATGTTTATGAGCATGTGTTTCAAACTTATTGGTAAGAGAACTCCGAAATGGCCATACATGCTAGTTATAATCCAAATAATTAAAAAAGTTATGATTTGACTCTCAAACATCATTTGAGCACCAGCTCATGTCTTCTCTGCTTTGTTAACATCTCTCCTCTCGTTATGACGGTCCTTGTACTTTGTCCTTCCAACTGGACGGAGCACTGTCAAGGTAGGCAGCTCTTAGAGACTGAGCATATAGTTTCTCTGATAATGTTACTTCTACTGTGTCAGCAAAGTCACCCTGACTGCACAGTCACCTTCCAGGTCTACTTGCCATCAACATCCACTACACTGAAATCTACTCTCACAGAGCTTATTTGGGTACTTTGCTGCAGTGATGTAGTTGAGTGATGTAGTTAAAATTACAGACTTAAAAAACCTTAAAAAACTTAAAAGTTTTCTAGTGCTAGAATTCTGCTTATCTACCTCAGAGTGATCCAGAGTCAAATCACATCTCCATCTGTCAGCATATCATGACCATCTTGCAAGTTCTTGCAGTGACTGCCTGTGTTGTGAGCACAACACTGTGTCCTCCCAGTCTGGGGAGTGGTCCAGGCACCTCATCTTCTGCTCTGTTGCAATCTAGATTTAGGCAGACAGGCCATTAAATTCTACATGCATCCCTAAGGGGATTGGTCCAGTATGCCTTCTCAGAATATTTACCCTCAGCACTGAGATCATGGGAGGAGAAGAAGGAAATGTTGACTCTGACTTCATTACAGAGAACAGGAAAAGTGCAGCTTCTGCATAATAGCTCAGCGATTAGAGCACTTGCCCAGTAGTGGGAGAGCTGGACTTTTCTCAAAGAGCTGAAGCAGTTGCATTCATATCTCAGGAAAGTTTCCTAACCACTGCCTTTCACTGGGCTCAATGAAGGAAACAATCTCCAAGTGAACCACTATGCAGCCAGGAGTGCAAGAGAGAGAGGTCAAAGAAAATCAGAAAGCGATGCTGGCCAAGTGGTAACAGCACACATCTAAGGGAGAGGATCATCTAGGAAAAGGATATTTGGGATGCTAGCTTTTGTTTCCATTGGAAGAAAAAGATGGAACAAATATAAAAATTCATCATTTTTTGGAGAAAACTGCAATCACAGGAGAAATCAGAAACAGAAAAGTTTCACCACAAATGAACTTGTATTTCTTGGAAACTTTCTCATTAAACTTAAGCTACATTTACCTTCATCATTTTTCCTATAACTGTAGCATGTAGTCACAATATAAGGGTAAAATAACAAAGAAAGTGTATATGTCACTCTGAAGATCTGTGCCGTATGAGTAATATCCTGTGCGATGGCATGTGGCTTTTATGGCATTACATGCTGTATCATTTCTTTCCCTTTTTGAAACTGGATCTTTACATTTGCTGCATACCACATGATCAACTTACTTTCTTATATGCTCCCTGATGGAGTCAGAGGCCTCCCTAGGGTGAAATGCTTCTCCAGACTTGGATGGCAGCCAAGTTTATTAATTTTGATGGAGCTGCAGTGATTCATGGTAATGCTTTATGTATTGCTGTCGCGGTATCTAGGAGTACTAGGAATGGCCCAGGCCCACAATTTACCTTAACAGAAAGGTAAAATTTATATCCAAAGGCTACAAATGAAGAATCAGACAGTGACAGATGAAGTTCTGATCCTCAGTACTTGTAGATGCAGCAAAATGGACAGCAAGGTATGAGACCACTGGTAACATTAGCAGGCTGTGTTCTGCGTCCGTTGAACTCTCTTAAGCTAAGCCATGTAGCCACTGCTCAACTCCATGTTACAAGTTCAAAAACTATGACAAGAGATCCTACAGTATTTTGTCCTCAAATAACCTCCTACACATTCCTGATTCAAAGAAAGATAGCATGAAAACTCCAACACACGGCAACATCGTTCATCACAAAAGAATGCAAGCACATAGCACATGGGGAAAATGTGTATAATAAATACAGCTGGAGTACATTCCATGACAATTTGAGAGAAATGTCAGTTATATTTATTTTTTCAACTGTTTGTGAGATTTTCTTGAACACTTTTTACAGAATTGAACCACAGATCTACAGATAATTAACATACAGCATCCTGTATCCTTTAAAAATGTTTAGGTCCAGTCCACCTTTAACTGAATTTATGGGCCTTTCCTTGATTTTGCTGTGAGTGAGGACCAGGTCTGAGAATAGTACCAGGTTTAAAATGTATACTGAATTTATTTTAGAGGTTAAAGGAACAGTTATATTCCCCCAAATTGGAGTTCCAGAGATTCTTAACAAATTTTTCCTGTATTCGGCCAATCAACTCTGTTTGAGCAGTTCTTTGAAAAAAAATTAAAATTAATAGTCTTATTTTAAAACACTTGAAGACAGAAATAACACAACCTACCAAGCTAAATGATCCCTTAATTCATTGTTCATTGCTAAAACCATTTTGGAAGCACTGGCATTATAATGTAACTACCCTCAGAAATACCTTTTCTCTTCAGTTTCTTATCATCTGTTGTCAAGTCACCTTTTTGCCCTTTTCCTGGTTAACAGAAAAGTGCATTTAGTTCTTAATTCTCTGGAATCCAACAAGTCAATGTCCTTTTTATGTTTGGGACCCCAGACCTTGACACAGTACTTCAGACAGGGTGTCACAAGAGCAGAGGGGCAAAATCACCTCCCTTGACCTACTGGCCATGCTGCTTTCAATGCAGCCCAGGATACAGCTGGATTTCTGGGCTGTGAGCGTGTGTTGCCGAGTCACCTTGAGCTTCTCATCAACCAACACTCCCAAGTCCTTCTCCTCAGGGTTGGTCTCAATCCATTCTCCTCCCAGGCTCTATTTGGCTTAGGATTGCCCCAGCCTATGTGCAAGACCTTGCACT